ATAAAATTGCTAAATGTTTATTTCCATTTAAGGTGCCGCCATAAAAATAAGGTCCTAATAGGGTGTCATTGATTATGCGACACCAAACGTTAACACGAAATTGAGTTTGAGAATCAGTTTGTTGCAGGTCGTTGAACTTGCAACCGCTTTCATATAATATCAAAAAAATTATAGCTAGAAATTTAAACAAATTCGTGGCATCGTCATTACGCGAGAACCGTTGCAAATTTTTAAAATCTATTCAAGCCACCGTATTGCGTATAAAAAATAATGAAACTTTGTCTCTCCCTATTTTCTTTACTTTATCACTTGCGAGAAAAACGTTGGATGTAATTATGTAATTACATTAAAAATGTAATTTAAATAACAGGTGTCTTGATATTTATGAATATCCAATAAATAACCACTGATTCGAAATAATTATTTGATGACCTTGTCTTCTACTCAGAATTAAGGATTAACAGTAGAAAAATACGAACTCTTTCTTTGTACCAAGAGAAAAGAACTCTATGAAACTATAATCGTTTCATCTTCTGAACTATTGCTCTTATAAATTTGGTGAAGTTTAGACGTAATAACTCCCTAGCTATAGTAATATTAAAAGCTTCGTAAGGTCTGTATACCTCTCCAAGAAGTCTTTCTTTATAGTGTAATGCAGCCTAGGAAGGAATATGTGATTCCTATAGATACCTAAAGCTTCTCTTGCAATTTTAATTTTATGATCAACCAAGAAAATATGTGATAGCCGTTGCAGTTTTAATAAATAAAAAATCTCTTTCGCTTGAACTACTTGCTCCCCGAGAGAAAGCAATTCCAATACGCAAGAAGCATTTGTAAATTGCAGCAGAAAAATTGGAATTTTTCACACTAAATACAAAATAGAAAATAGGCGAACATTGACGAAGATTTCAATAAATTGTACTATTTTTTCTGTGTGTCTTAAACATTTTGAAAAGTCGAGTACGATTGACGTAAGTTTTAACTAATTTGTGTTACTGATAATAGCATTACGAACCGATTTTATTCAACTATTTAGTGTCGTACTTTTATGGGTATACATACTGCATTTATTGCAAAAAGTAACTCAATATTTATACAAACTATTCAACCGTTTCTTGAATCGTACCTGCAGGTACGACTAACGAAGAAGAGTGGTTTTTCTTCGTTTGCAATGGAGAATGTATAGAAAATATCATGCAGTGCATTGAATGCGCTATTACGGGTTCGTAATAATTAGATGCATCGCAAACTGCTATTCTTTTATGGTATTTATTCTTCTTTCTTTCTCTCTTTGTTATTATTTAAAAGTATTCAATCCTTAAAATACAATAACATAAATATACTGTTTAACAATTAATACTACATGCTGCATACTTTCTTTCTTTGCTATTATAGAAAAATTAATGTACTAACAAATGATTCTGTCATTCATATTTCTTCTCATTTGTATTCACTTTGCTATTTGTAATGGTGGTATAATGTAAACAGAATACCACTTACTTCAGCCATACTTTCTACACTATTTCGTTAAAAGGCTGCTAACTAATTAATTAGTTCTTGGAAAAAGTTTTACCATGTAATATATACAATTACTAATATTGAATTTCTTATAAGTTAATGTTAAACAGGGAATATAGTATGAAATACCTTAGCAACTCTCTCCCATATTTCTTTTGCAAAACTTGACCAATATTTAATATTAAAACAAAAGAAATCGTCAAATTTGTCCTAGTTACAAGGCGATTTATACGGGAAAATTGATTTCTCTTTATGTGCACGTTCCTTTTCGTCTATCCGCTACAGAATCGCCGGCTGGCATTTGAACGTAAACGATAACTAATGAAAATTGTTCAACGTCAAATAAGCAAATCACGGTACATGTCAAGCAACGCTTCAAGGCGTACGGACGAAGGTGGTGCTATGTATAGTTTTGCGTGGTAATATAAAGAAATCCAATATTCTCAATGCCCATAGGAGTCATACCTAGGTCTTTGGTCCCATTGGGTCTAAATCCAATCGTACAAAGAAAGAATAAATCACGACTATTTACGATAAAAATGGTTTCTACAATTCCCCTGTTTACCGTGCTGAATCATGTTTTCCTCGATTGCCCCTCCTGCCATCAAAATAATATTACAATGGGTATCGTTGTCTTCCCGTCAAATTTGCTAGTTTATTACATGCGTGGAAGAAAATCAGAATGCTTTATCTTTCAAAGTTGGAATTCTCTTGAAGTTAAAGAGTAATCGAAGATTTCACTGTTTTCTCCTTAATTGGATTCATTTTCTAAGAGAAGTCGGAACTCTTTAGTATCTAACTCAAAATCAGTTGCAAATACGATCTTTGTATGTTGAATAGAGACGTTGCAGTGGAATTAAAAACGAAGATTTTGTCGATAAATAGGTGAGGTTATCTCCTCTACCTCGGTTAACAAATCAACAAGTAAAACAATTAAAACTATAATTAACAAGTACAACGCTGAATTTCTTTCATTTGCTACGAGAGCTATGAGAACGATGATTGTGCATAGAGCGAAAGGATAATTAAGTTAAATTCAAGTTTTCTGCACTACGCATAATTGATACCTTTCTCGAATGATAGAAGGCCATTTGAAGTATCACAAGTTAATGAGTATGACAAGCCCAGATCTGTTTCGTCTCCCACATTATTTACACCAGGGGTGATTTTCTGCAGCAACAGTGTTTTCCTTCCCCGAACACGCAACACCATGTCACGCGAACTTCCCTGTACGCTTGATCATTAAACTTTACTGTTAATTAGCTACCCTCTCACCATTTTCGATAATTCGAAAGGAAAGAATGCACTATTTACGATTCAAGGCAATTTTCTACATTTACTTGGCTCATCTAGATAGCCGTTTCTCGCATTGCCATTATCGTTGCCGAAGGATTACGGTAAGTACTGGTATCTGCACTACAAATACAACTCTGATCCTCCCTTTTTTCCCTATTTTTATATCTTTCCAATTACATATTTAGATGTCGCGAAATACGAGTGAAATAGTTGAAGAATAAATGTTTAAAATTGAAAAATAATGGAATAAATTCGTAGAAGCATTGACCTTGTTTCTCGGCTGTACAGAGTTTTTCAAGTTTTCAAGAACTGGACAGAAGAACTTAAAAAAGAATACTAAACGTACCCCCAAGTACACTTGAAGAAGGTAAGCTAACGTAGCTAATTTTATTTGCCCACTTGACATTGCAATAATTAAGTCAATTGAAAATGTAAAACGGCTCTCTAAACTAAAAAAAAAAGAGAATCTTTCATTTCTATTAAATTCGTTTCCGAACTATTTCCATAGTCTGCATTATTTCAAAGAGGAAAAAGTTCGAAGCTACTTTTTGTGCGTTTTTCCTTCGTTCCTCGGTTAATCTGAAAGCACCTATTGCAGAGTGATCAAATAAACGCGCAATATCCTGTAATTGTCCAATGACTGCTTCACAGATAAAAAAAAAGAAAAGCAAAGAAGAAGAAACTAATAGAAACATTAAAAATGCATCTGATGGAAAACGAGCGTAATTATCCAATAAAAACTGAACTTTCCACGATTTCTCATCCTAGTTTCTCATCCTGCCGAAATGTAAATGTAAAAAAGAAACGCTTACTTCGAGTCACTCGTTCGTTCGGTGGTCGAGGTCCTGATTATCGTCGTAGATAGAAATCTTCCGTGATAGCAGCGGTAGCGGTGAGAACGAGCGAAAGAATTTGGTCAGGAACGGAGTTATAAAGAAGCTTTTAGCTTATCGAGGCGTGATGATCCTGACAGAGCAACTTCCGGTTCCTTCGAATAACAGCAGCTTACGTTTGTAGTATTCTGGTTGGAGCGTGTTGGTCGATCACAGTGCTACTTGGTTGAAATACTAAGATAACTAAGCTATTTCGTCCGGGGATAACAGGTGGTACGTCGGAGTTCCTCACCGTGCAGAGTACTAACGACGTATGACGTCGACGGCTCGGTGCGAGAGGGCTTTTATAGGCGAGCGTGCCGACTCGACTCGACTCCGCTCGGCACGGCATCCCATGCCGCCATGCCGCCATACCGCCATGCTGTTGGCCCTACAGACCGATTTCTCCCTTTTTTTCCGTCGTTTCACTGCTCGCTTCATCACCCCGCCATCACCCTCTTCGACCTCTTCGCTCGAGATTAACAACTGGGCCACGAGATTAAGAAACATCCAACGATAATTAAACCACCTTCGCTTCTGTCTATCCCCGAAGTGTCCTTACTGACCACCGCGTTTCTATGGAAAATATGCAATTCCTTTTTTGTATCGTTTATTTTGCAAACAAATGCAAATTGCAGTGGCGCGTAGAAGGACTGTTATGTTAATCTATGAAACGTGGATAATAGTTGTATTGTTAAATGAACAAAATTATAACTTGAGTTTGATTTGGTTTGGCAATGTGAAACATTTTTGTCGTTTATCAATGGTAAATTGTATTATATTACGAGTGTAACTTGTTATTACAAGGTGAGGAGTTAATTAACAATTATTTTGTGTGTAAGAAACTTTTTCTTCCTTGCTTTGGTGTGCTTATTTGTTGAAAGATAAGAGTTTTAATCCTGTCTCTTTGTTTATCAAACTTATAGCTTTAAGGGATTTATTTTGCCGTTACGTATTGATTTTCAAATGTTTTATCAATTATAGTGGTCAATTAGTTTAAAAATATTTCTTACTTTTCATAAGTGTCGCATGATCCTATTGCCAAAAGGACGAAGATACGTTCTTCCAGTAATTGCAAATTCACAACAAACCTTTTCCAATAAACTTAAAAACAAAAACGCTGCATTCAATTATTACTGGAAAAATTTTACGGGAATATACATTTTTCAGTGCAATTTAATGTTTTTATAAAGGTGACATGATTTTGCCATTCTTTTCTGTATTATAATTCCAGATCAAATGTATTAATTACTTAGATCCGACAATGTAGGATCATAGTAATTTTGTTGTATACTTGAATGTGATTGATTTGAAATGGCAATTGCACTTTTAAAAGATAACGTTTGTACAAAATTTTACTTCATAAAACAGTCACTTCCATTGCAACAGTACTTACTTTAAGAATAAACTTAAGTTGTAATTTGATACGAAAAATGATGCGACAAGTGATATTAAGAAACATTCGAACTTGAAAAAGGAGGAGAAAATAAACGATAAGATGCTTTTCCGTCATTTAAAAATTAGTAACGCTCAAACTTTAGATTAGAAATTTCTGCTATTCGTATATTTTACCAGTAATCAATGAAAAGTATTTGCCAAGAATAAAGGTTTAAATTACATTAATATTAACAAATAAATTTTTTTACCAGCATATAGTCGTGAAATCGATGGAAAAAGCACTGCAATTCAGGCAGCTACACTTACACCAGAGGATGTAAAAACTTTAATATACCCCGATTTTCCAGGAAAATTAAAGAAAGAAAAGGTATAATAACAGCAGTATAATTTTAATGATTTGAATTCTAAAAATTTTAGTTTGGCCTAAATAATACCTCCTCATAGACTGTTTCAATTTTCCCTAGCCGAATTGATATAACAGTAGATTCATTATTCACAAAAGTGGTTACAGAAGACAATGAAATTATTACAAAAATGATAAAAAATATGATTCCTATAAAGAAAGCTATTTTCATTGATAGTACATGGCATCAAACTAAAGCTATCTATAAGGATCAAAGATTACGGGGTAAATACACAAATAAATAAATTTATAAATAAAACTAGCTTCGTATGTATCTTCAAAATACATAAAGGCACACAAATATTGAAATGAAGGTATTTGAAGTAATGACTGTTATTAATTCACAGATTTACAATGTGTCATTCTAAAATCAACAATATCACAATTTTGGCGCCACTAAAAAAAAAGTCCACGATTGCATTTAGCTACCATTGAAGCAATTCGTCAGTTTTTAATTTCTTCAGAGGTTCTGAAGGAAAAGAAGTTAACAAAACAAATCTTACAAATATCTAATGTTGCACACTAGTATGTAAATGAGTTATTTGAAATGGTTCAAAGGTACAGGGTTCAATCTGATGATCCTTTATATTTTTCTAAACAATCTCAAAGAGAATAAAAAACACGTTTTCTATTAAAAACACTGTTTGCAGTAAAAATGCATGGCATGCAAACAAAAACATAGAACTTTACTGGATCGAACGTTTGCTTCCATTGTAACGGTATATACCGTGAACCGTATTTATTGTAACAGCGAGCGTAGGTCTAATTTAAATTTTACATAGTAGCTAAATGCGCATTATACACGATGAATCCGTAATTTAACTATTTGTATGTTACGCACATTAACCGTTAGCATTCGTTATGAAAATGCAGCATCTGGCCTAGCATCAAACCTTCAGTAATGAAGTTAATCAAGATGAGGGCCAACACCTACTATAGAACACTATAACCGATGCCATATATTAATTATATCCCAGGATGAGTTTGTTGGAAATTATTGTGCGAAATTATGCCGGGCGAAAATCGAGAAGTTCGGGTTTATAGATATACTTACATTTATTCATAAATTTTGTTCACCCAAAATTTCATTGAAATCGCAGCGTATTTTCAAGAATATAATTGGCCCGGTAACAAAGGACGAGTATTAAGCGCAAAACGATGTGAGAAAAAGAATGAACAAACTGACGATTTCGAAACATTTTCAACTTGAAGGGTTTCCAAAAGCCTTTTGAAGTTTGAAAAAGTTTTCGCGTTAACGTTACGATGAAATTCTCGTGCGACTAAAATTCACAGGTAATCGAATGAACGAAGAAGATTCGCAAGAAATGATGAAGCCGCGCATAAACCATTACTCATTATGCACGCGTGTTCTCGAAAACTCGAGAATATGTCTCACTTTATGTGATCCACTCTTTCATCAGTGGTACATATACCACTGTACGTGAGACCAATGTATATGTGCATTTTCACGGACACAATTTCTTACTGTTAAAAATCGTACAGTTCTGTGTCCGCTGAAAAACAATTGAGCCACTCAGTATCCAAAGTGACTAACTCCATGAAATAAAATTTATTCAATTTTTTTTATTTATGAAGAATTAAGCACCAAGCATGTTCTTTGATACTAAAATTGGAAGAATATCAAAACGTGGAGTTATCAGTTTGGCTTCAGAATGGCCCAATTCGTACTTAATAATGTCAAATTTATTTCGCTGTATGCATTTACTCGAACGAAATTTCTTATCAGTTCTCTTTTCCTTCTTGATATCGAATTTTTAACTGAGTTTAGATTTTTTTTCGTAAATGTCACTGCCGTTTGCAAGCTTGAATAACGGAAAAGTGAAGTAAATAATGTAAGTGATAATAGATTTCTTTTATTAACGTTTATTAAGTTTACTCGATATTTCTGACGTTGCTTACGTATCTTGTAGCGTGCCTGCGTATGCAAAACTATGGGACCAAGATCAGAAAATACGCGAACACGTTGAATAACGATGACGAATGATGCTGTAACATCTGTTCTATGAACGTATCTTATCCTACACGTTGCAACAATGAACAAAGAATAGATACTACTCGGATACTGTAATCCCTCTGAGTAAACAGGTGGCCGATGCTTTAGTTTCTGCACATTTCTAGTATTTTTAAAATGTTCAATAATTTCTCATACCCGAAAATATAAGGACTAGCGAAGAATCGGTGATTCAAAGGACAACTAACGAAATATAGTGCGATATAAACACCCAGAATATCATAAATCTCCACAATTGTCTACCTTTTCAGACTATGCGTATCTAAGATAAAGGTAGAAAATTGGGAGTTCAATGATTGGCTACTATAATGCTCAAAATTAAAATTGCAATTTATTCGCATTTCATGAAAGTTTACACGAAAATGGGCTAGACTAATTTTTTATACACAGGGTGAACAGCCTAACGTGATCTCCTTTAGATTATTCTGTTGTTACTGAACAGATAGAAACTCTTTTTGTGTCGCATAATATGGTTCGACGAGGCCTTTACGATGATTATATTAGTATAATACATTTTTTATCAGTCTATTTTTTTCGCAATTTTCAAGATCAATTTCAATTTTTTTACGCCCATCTTTTAACGGATGTTGAAACGAGTTCGGCAAGCGTCGTAAAACATATTTTTCTCCATCTCGACTAAAGAAACAGTAAAATGGGGATCCTGGTAAAAAAATATCCTAACAGCAAAAAAAGTGTAGGTGTCATAGAAAGAACTAAGTTGATTAGTGCCATTTTGAACATATACTGTGAATTTGCGTAAGTTTGAAACTTAAAATTAGAGACATCGCATGCTATCAAGCGTCACAGAATCACTTTTTCCTGCAAATCTTTCTTTGCCGTATCATTCCTTCAGATAAAAAAAATATCTTTTATTATACAAAAAGGACTACGATTACACATTTAAAAAACTGAAGGTGACCTTAAAAACTATAATCATCCAAAAGACCTCTTTAAACCATATTATGCAACACAAACAAAATTTCGATCGATCCACCAACAACAGAATAATCTAAGGTGATCGCTCTGTGTACCTTAATGAAACTAATTTCAAAAGAATTTGTACACGATTGAATTTCTTGTTTAAAGACAAGCAATTTTTCAGAGCTAATAGTTTCTAAGATATCGAAAACATAAGATCATCGACTCCAATTTCGAAAACTATCCGTACCACTTTAACATAGAAATTACGAGTCACATGTTTCTTCGAGAAATATCTTGTATCGTAAGTTTCACAAAAATTGAAATCGGGGACACTACATTTTAAGTAGAATTAAATGTAGTGAAACCGAAACAGAATATTCTGCCGTCATGGTGGTTGACTTTGGTTAATTAGAATAGAATTCCTGAAACTTGTTCCAAACTTTGCGTTAAGACAAATTATGATTCGTTCCTTCGAAGGAACACAAACTCCAGTCTGTCGTTGACAGTGAAAGATATTAATCACAAAATATCCTGCAATTGTTGCAGTAATTAAACAAAAGCATTTCTACATCTTATGTGGAAAATATGAACTACGATCTATATTTAGAAAAATATCTGATAAATTATTGTTTAAATTCGCTGAACGTGACATTAAATGCATGTAACGAATTGGGAATAATTGAAGTGTAGTACAGTTCCATTTACAAGAACGAAGTAGATATTAACCCTAGAACTCCTGAGTCTGGGGCCGTCACGCGAAAGCTTAGGGGGATTCCCCGAACCCACACTTCTTACACATTTATCCCGAGAAAAGTTATTTTTTGAAAATATTTCTATAACATTTGAACAAAGCTAGCATATGTTACTGCATTGCATTTATTTCCAGTTATATGCATTTATAGAATAAAATGGTATTGTACAATAGCGAACTAACACGAAACTAATCTGAACGAGATTCTTCTGATGTCAAATATGAATAGCAAAGTACCACGTTCATCAAATGCTTGATTGTAACTCGTTGAATGCTGCATCGTTCCTTTTTGATTAGTTAGTTTGATTCTTTACTCTGTGATTGTTTCTCATTCTTTGGAGATACAAAGAACGTAAGGGTTCGCTTCGCGTGATCGCCAGTACCGCGTCGCGTAGTTCGTTTTCTTTTTCTTATACGAAATATTTTTCATACGAAGCAACAACGGTTACTTCTGAATATCAAACTTGAACGTGTATACGACGGTAAATAATTTTTTGAGAATTTTTTGCGGAAAGGAAATGATTCTAATTTAACATTTTTCGTCTTGTGCATTCGGGGAAACCCCTAGGTTCTAGGATTTAAACCTAGACCGTGAAATTCGAATACTCCATTAAGCTTCCCTTATCAGACGAAACGATATTTCCGCATTTTTCGAATTTAGACAACCAATTCCGTCTATGTACTGCATAAATCTGTGTCTCAATTCAGCAATGGTAAAGCAGAACATACTTGACCATACAAAATGACCCGTTAGCAACATTTCGAAGGCGAATTTTTACGTAACTAAACCGTGATTGAAAAATAGAAGTGTACATGCAGAAAACAAAGTCGGAAAGTTACAAACAATGATACTTTATCGCACGTTCAATTTTTCTGGAAAGTTGCTAATCGTTCGTTTCGGCCTGGCCGGTCTTTCTAGCGTTGATAACGTAAGTATAGTACGAACAGTTCGAAAATGGCAAGTGCATAAATGAAAGAAACTAAAGAAAGAGTAAGATTCGAATTGAAAGTCAATAGACAATCCACTAGCCGAATTGGAAAAAACGCACATCTGGTGGTGGTCGATTGCCACGCTAATTCGACGGCAATCCAATGAAGAGACAATAAAATCCATTTAGCACCTCACCGAGTCCCTTTACTCAGCCAGGTCCATCGAGAAACTCCGTCTTAAAGCAATTGAAGCTCGTCATCGAAGTGGGAGTTTGTCCATCGCGGCCGCCACTGTCCCGGCCTTCGCTACTGCCAACTACGCTCGTAACGTCCAGAGACCCCGGTCTGTCAACCAATTCCTCCGCAGTGGAGCAGCTATTTGAATGGGCTGACAGAAGCGGGGTTCCGTTCAATGGACTTTAATACGAAAAGAACAACCGTGTGAAACCGTAAAACAAATCTCGATTCTTCGCCAGACGGTGCCATATCTCGTGCTAAAGAGCAGCAAGCTGGGCTGCTTGTTGTTTAGCAATTAAGAAAATGGAAAATAACGATTGCACAGTGGGAGGAATATAGCCCCGAGCTTTGAACGTTTATTGGACGAAGGCGCGGTGTAATGTAAGGTTCCGAGAATATTAGCAGACGTAAATAAATCTATTTCACACCGAACAATACTAGGATGTGGATGTGGAAAAATGGTACAAATTGTAGGCGGTAATGGTAGGTGGATAAAGTTATGTTTGCTCGTAACTGGATCGACGGTGTCGAAAAAAGAAGAGGTCGGAGTGTACACTCTCGTCTGTAAGTCGTTACTACAGTGATCTGGAGATTTGTACAGTAGAATTCAGATTGTTTGGCACATTCAATACCCTACGAACGTCATTGGGCGAAA